ACTCCGCTAAAGCCGTAGATTAATTCATCTAAGCTACAGGGGGGCACGAATAACGGTACGGTTCGCGCTGCGCTTCGCGGGTTACAAGGTGGCTCAACAAAAGCTAATTCAAGTTACACAAATCGAGATTTGTTACAGGAATTATTTTTTATAAGGAAATGTTATCAATTTTTTTTTATTCTAAATGGTTAAAACTGTTAATAATATTTCTCGAATGTGAAATTTTACAGAAAATGCATGAAAAATGTAGTTACAATTGTATATTTTCTCATAGAAGACACAATTCTGTATCAAAATAGTATGTGTATCGGTTACGCTTGCTGGCATCGATTGAAAAAAAAAGTAGAAGTTCCGCGGAGTTCGCAGACAATTTGAAGTTTCAGCTATTCGACCGCAAACTTTATAATTTAACGCCAAACTTTTCATAGTTTATTGCCCCGATTTTAATGGCAGACGTGCCGGTTAATCAAGACGAATACACCGAAAAAATGTCGTACGAACTTGTTTTGTTGCTTTGTTTCACCAACCGTACGTCATTTCAAAGCCTACTAGTAAAAAACATGTTTTTTTTATTCAAAACAGAAATCCAAACAAATTGTTACTGTTTTACTATTTTACGCCCCTTTTCAATAAGCCTATATCGTGTTCGTGAGAAATTTATAACTTAACTTGATTATATTGAAAACAAATGAAGATAAGACGTTTTTATTTACACTTCTTCGTTCATAATATCTCTGTCTCTTATAATAAAAGAGATATCAATACGAATAGCTCAAATTTGAAGTCTGCTGTTTGCGTATTACATAAAAATATGTATGATCATTGTCTTTTGTTGTTACTTTTAGTTTCTGTTTCTCATACTTGTATAACTGGTTGCCTATCTCGAAATTAAAAACAAGAATCCATGTGGCACGCCCTCCATGTCTGTACTCATTATTAAATAAACTTGCCCCTGTTTTGTTTGTTAACTTTTTCTCAAAATCAATTTGCTAATTGTTTTGCTAGTATTTCTGATCCCTACAACCAAATTAAAAATTTAATTGCATTTGCTGATTAATATTGTTTTCAAATACAAGCTGCGTCTTTCTTGCCAAATATATTTCAAAAACAGGTGTAGTTTAAAGAAATATAAAATAAAACGCACGTTTCAAATTTAACTACAATTTATTTTCCTCGATTGAAAAACAATAACAAAAACAATATTTATACAAGTCAATATACAAAAATAATTTCATTGTTTAAAAAAACATTGTTCTATTACACAGGGAGTCCCAGAATAACGTGTACAACGGAAGACCATAGATTCGTGGACTCAAAATAGGCAGATTTAGGCTAATTCACTTAAATTCGAAATCGCTTAGTTTGGCCGATAGATGGGCTCAAAGTTTGTGAAAATTTTTTGAATTTTGTAAATAACTCGAATACGTATTATTCGATTTTGATCATTTCTGGGGTGTGGACTGTTGTTTACAATCTACAAATTTTGGTGTAATATAGTGTTTTTTAAAACTTACAACTACAAAATTTATGTATACAGAGTGACCCATTTGAAAGCGGGCCACCCACATAACATTTTTATTTATGGAGCGATTTTGACGAAATTTTTTTTGAAATGTAGAGGGGGGAAAAGTGTATTTTGGGGCCAAGCCCCGTCCAGTTCTTTTTTAAACTAAGGCCTACTAGATAACATTCAGAGGCTGAAAAATCCAGAATCCATATTAGCGATTTTTTTAGAAAAAATTTGGCGTCCCCTGAAATGGATCTGTACCAAATTTCATGAAAAAATATTCAACATTAACGATTCTGCAGCTAAATTTCTGTCAAATTGTTTATTATGCATAAAGAAACTTTTTATCTAGTAACCCATGCGATAATAAATCAATCACAACAAATATTTAATAACACGTTTAATAGACATCATTATACCAAAATACAATGAAACAGACATAAAAATGAGCGATAAATTAACATAAAATTTACAAAAAATACAATAAAATAAAATTAACACACATGGATTAAATTAAATTCTGGAATTTTCAACTAAATCTTAATTTAATTGAATGCATTTATTGTATTGTTTTTGAATGTGTGCCATAACATTAGACAATTGATGTGTTGTAATTTCAGCGCATGCCTATCTTCTTCTTTCGCGCAGTTCTTCTGCATTCATTGGACGAGTGTAGTAAACTTTTTCTTTAATGAACCCCCATAAAAAAAATCTAGGAGAGGCAACATTTACAAAAATATTCATTCAATTAAATGGAGATTTAGTTGAAAATTCCAGAATTTAATTTAATTCATGTGTGTTAATTTTATTTTATTGTATTTTTTGTAAATTTTATGTTAATTTCTCGTTCATTTTTCTGTCTGTTTCATTGTATTTTGGTATAATGATGTCTATTAAACGTGTTATTAAATATTTGTTGTGATTGATTTATTATCGCATGGGTTACTAGATAAAAAGTTTCTTTATGCATAATAAACAATTTGACAGCAATTTAGCCGCAGAATCGTTAATGTTGAATATTTTTTCATGAAATTTGGTACAGATCCATTTCAGGGGACGCCAAATCCAGTGGCGTACGCAGATTTTTTCTAAAAAAATCGCTAATATGGATTCTGGATTTTTCAGCCTCTGAATGTGATCTAGTAGGCCTTAGTTTAAAAAAGAACTGGACGGCGCTTAGCCCCAAAATACACTTTTCCCCCCTCTACATTTCAAAAAAAATTTCGTCAAAATCGCTCCATAAATAAAAATGTTATGAGGGTGGCCCGCTTTCAAATGGGTCACTCTGTATATATTAGTGTGGCCCAAAAAAAAAAAACGATTATTTTTTTCGAGTCTCTTGTGAAAATATGTTAGTTTATCATGTTTTAAGAGCCCTCTCAAAAAATCAGCTCAAAAAAATTTTTTTAAAGGTCGCTCAAGATTTTAAAAAATTTCCAAAATCGTCAAAAATTATTTTTTTTAATTTTTTTTTCTCATTATTTTATCATTTTCTAGGTTGAAAAAATTTCGAATCTGAAAATTTCAAATCGATATTTTAATTTCTAAAGGTCACTCATAATTATTTTAACTTTTTAACACTTAAATATTAAAAAATTATAGATAGTTGATGCGGTAGTAAATTTTGTCTCGAGAAATTTTTTAAGTGTCTCGTGATTTATTTCTATTCTTTTGTTCCTCAAATTCAATAAAATAATTATTAGTTCGTTGATATTTATTTTTGGAGGTCGCTCAAAAACATTTTAGGTACCTACACTACTTTAAAAGTTAAAATAATTATGAGTGACCTTTAGAAATTAAAATATCGATTTGAAATTTTCAGAATCGAAATTCTTTTCAACCTAGAAAATAATAAAATAACGAGAAAAATTTAAAAAATTGAATATTTGACGATTTCGAAAATTTTTAAAAATCTTGAGCGACCTCTAAAAAAATTTTTTTTGAGCTGATTTTTTGAGGGGGCTTTTAGAACATGATAAACTAGCATATTTTCACAAGACACGAAAAAAAAATATTCGTTTGTTTTTGGGCCACCCTAATGTATATCCGTTCATAAATTTTCCTCTTCCGGACAATAATGACAACTATTTTTTATTTGATAGGTGATACCATTTGGAAGTTTTTGGGCCTCTTATAGAATTTTTATTAAATGAGCGGTTTGGGTACAAAAAATATTTTTTGAATGTCTACACATTATATTGCGACCCATATTACAATACTTAACAAAGTGCTAGTAGTCACTGATTTTGTAGGTTAACTGTAATTTCAGTTTGATCTTTATTATCACCATACATCAATTTTGTAGGAGTTGTGAGTTTTAAAAAACACTCTGAATTAGCCTAAATCTGCCTATTTTGAGTCCACGAATCTGCGGTCTTCTGTTGTACGCCTTATTCTGGGACACCCAGTAGATTAATAATATACTAGAGCTGTTATATTTCCTTTCTCTTTTTTATTGTACGAATTTACACTATCCCTTTCTTTCTTACTCGCTACAGCAAGCTTTGTAAGCTGTGGTCAGCACACTATATACTTTTTAAGAATAATTTGAAAAGTTCTAAATATGTATTATATTTTTAGTTACTATAATTGCCTTACATCTAAAGGAGGAAGGCAAAAAGTTTGGAAAAATACTCCTAGAAGGACGAAACGGTAATTGATTATTTTTTTGCCTGTGAAGATTCTTGATATAATTACGGGGTGTTGCAAAAAGACCCGAAATTCCTGATAACTTTTCAAGATAGAAACCATAAAAAAAATTCAGAAAAAAATTGTAGGACATCAGGAAACCAATATGCTTAAATTTGACCTTGATCAAGGTCACCTTAGAAATATTAAAGAGACGGCCCTGTTTTTATGCCGACAACAGATAACGTATTTCATTTGACATTAAGTTGACCGTAGTTTGACCTTGCAACTTATGATAAAGGTCCAATCCAAGGTCACCAACGAATTTGTCAAACACAATTCCACAAGTTTTGCTAGGAACATTTTCCTCCACAATTGAATCTTGTCCAGCAATTCAGACAAAAGTGAGTTTAACCTCTTGACCTTAAAGGATATGCCGAAAATTTTCCTAACCCCATATTTGGGCGTAAAATTTGGCGCTGGCATAAAAAGTAAGATGTTCCTTTTAATATTTTCAAGTTGGCCTTGATTTAACCTTCAAATTTAAGGTCAATGTCAAATTCAAGGTCACCAGCACATTGGTTCAAGGAGATTGGGTCTTTTTTGGGACACCCTGTACATATAGAACTTAAAAGTTCTGTACGTCCCTAAAGTTGTCTGAACAAATTTTTTTTAGTTTTCAAAACCTTAATTTTATATTAAAAAAAAGTGTTTTTATTCTTTTAACAAATATTATTCCTGTTATTGTTCAATAGTAAAACAGTAATCATAGAAAACAACTATAAAAAGTAAACACAGTTAAATATAAATAATCAGACATACTTTTAACACCTAAACATCTCATATGAAAATAAAATAATCTATAATCGTTAATCACACAAAAATTGTGCATGTTTCAACGTACTAAACAAGTTATATAACGTCATCACTTAACAGAAACTGTCGAAATCTCTAGAAAAGGTTACAAGGAGTAGCTTGGTAGCCGTAATATTTTTTTTTCAATTTCCCTTAGCTTTCTTCTTATTACGATTTAAGTGCTACCGTTCAGGCATTTGTTGATGAAGTTGTAGACGCTCTTCACGTAGCTTTCCCGGTTCTCCGCAAGGTGCTTCACATGTAGACTGGTCTCATAGCAGAGAGTCGTCACGTCGACTCCCAATTTTTTTCGGTAGTCGGCGAAGTATTCGATATCCTAGAACAAAATTTGATGCAAAGTGTTTGTTAATATGACGGTTGGAAGGTCACAAGAACAAATAGTACGTCAAACATTGGATTAGTTAACAAAAAACAAAACAATTCTCTTGAAATACGTACAATAAGATCCATTTTTGTTAACACTAGCGTTAATGAAAGTCGATGATCAAAAGGAACTCCCAAATCATTAACTGTGTTGGGTCTTAAGAGAAGAGTGTTACTTTATTATGAGCGAAGATTGATGCTGCAAAATGACATAAAATTGCAATTTTTAATGTTCAATTTGAGATAATTAAAGTTACACCAATATTAATCCTTTTAATTTTTTTACAACAATTCAGTGTTCAACATTAGATACACACCAGTAGATTTTCATACCATTCGCTTATGTTTCACTTCAAGACAAGAAGATATATCTTTAACATAAATTTTAGATAACAATGGACCAAAAAATGAGCCTTGAGGCACCCCAGTTGATACACTGAATTGGACAAATTGTTGTCTATCACAAAAGTGTGACTTAAGTGGTTGACACAACTTACTAAAAAGCGATAGTTTGCAACCTAGAATCAAAATAGTTTGGGCGCGGTGACTATCATAACTATAGCAACCTAATCAATAATAAAAATTAGTTGTTTGAAAAATGAGTCACAGATTTATATTTTGTAATTCACATTCTAAGTATTTAATTCAAAATGAGCTCGGAAATTGAAGACGAGCATTTACCAGGGGAAGTATTGGAAGCGGCATAAAGTGCTGTTTAACAATTAATCACCAAAAAATCGGCGAGGCAGTACGAGATTGCCTACAACGAATTCAAAGGATGGTGTAGTTCGAGGAAAATTCAAAAAGTGTTCGAATAGGTATTACTGGCATATTTCGAACATAAAATTAAAATTAAACCTGCGACGTTATGGTTAGTACACTTCCTATTAACCAACGCATTTTATACTACGCAAAAATTTTTAAAAAGTGATCTCACCCTAATATGACTATCTTAGAAGTAGCTTCGCACACTTCAGTTGCATTGTTTCAGTTTTTTTTCTTACTACATTACTCATAATCTTATTTTAACATGTACCATTTACTGTTTGTTTGTTTTGTTGTCCTCTTACAAACATTTTACTTTGACATTTGACAACCATTTATTGCTTGTACTTGTATTGTTTTATTACCATTTTCTTTGTTTTTTAAATTATGAACTAGTTACGTGTCAACACTGTTATACGCGTGTGTACTGTGCTGTATATGTATTTTACTTTTTTTTCATAATGATTTTATATTACTACTATAATTAATATTTTTTTGACGTGTGTAAACACTTGTTGTGTACTAACACTAATAAATATCTATCTATCTATCTATCTATCTATCTATCTATCTATCTATCTATCTATCTATCTATCTATCTATCTATCTATCTATCTATCTATCTATCTATCTATCTATCTATCTATCTATCTATCTATCTATCTATCTAGTACAGTGAAACATCTTTAATCCGAACACACGTTAATCCGATCACACGCTAATCCGAACGGCTAAATCTGAACGATGACTAGAAAAGACTATATCGAGTTTTTTTGGAAGTAAGAAAAATAAAACATGTGAATAGACAGTGACTTCGTTTTTCCGAGCTGTGAGCTGGAAAAAATTTTCATACCCATAAGTTCGGCAACATAGATAAAGCAGCGAAAAAGCTGTCGCTCGCACGCGCGAAAGGTGATTCAAAATATGAAAAGTGGGGGAGGGGGCTTTCGCTCCAAGACTCAATTCGGAGGTTCAAAATACGAAGGTACGAAAAAAATTGCATTATCTCGGCTTCTAATGAACCAATTTCGATCTTCTTTTTAATTCGATGTCTGGCGAGCCAAGGAATTCGAATATCGTAATGCCAATTGTCTAATTTGCACAAATTTTGTTATAAACAAAGTATCTATCTATTACACTTCTTCTACTATACATCTATGTATCTATTTCACTTTTTCAATGAAAAAATTTGTTTACGTATACAGGGTGTCCCAAAAGTGACGCCCGTCCTTCTGGGATTTGATTAAGGAGACAAAAACAAATCGAAAATCAAGAATGGAAAATTTTCCGATTGTTTTTCTTTGTTGTTATTCAAAAATTTATTTAAAAAACTAAAAAAGTGAAAATCCAATTTTTTCTTCTCAAAACTGAGGTCTATACTTATCGAAACCAAGACAAATCATTTATAACCATTAGTAGGTAAGTATAGTTTCCGATTGTCGGTTGTACCTGGGTGTAAGGAATAATTTTAACCAGAAAAGGATAGAGAAAAACATTTTAATAAAACAATTTTATAAAATGGAGAGGAAAAAAACATAAAGTGCTTAAATAATAGAAATTGTTTTTACAAAAGGTGTTCAAATAAGTTGCCTTCTACTCTAAGACAAAGATAGGCACGATTCAACATTGAAGCTTGAACCCTTTATAGCATCTCTTGGTCTATTAACGCGACAAGAGCGTGTATACAGGGTACTACATTTTCTGGATTTACAGCAGATTCGATGTAAATCTTTTCTTTTAAATAACCCAAAAAAAATCTAGCGGATTCAGATCTGGTAACCTAGGAGACCATGCTATGGGTCCACCTCTTCCAATCCATCTGCCTGGGACGTTTGGATTCAGATAATTTCATACTCGCAAACCATAACGTGATGGAGCTCCATCATGTTGAAATCAATAATTTAGTCTAACTGCTAACGGAACGTCATCCAGCAATGGCAATGGTAAGTTCTCATTTAAAAACATACAGTTGCAGTAAATATCGCTCTAAACTACATAATTATTTAATAACCCAGCCCAAATGCTTATTTCTATTTTTTTTAAATATTTTTTTTGAATAACTCAACAAAGAAAAACAATCTTAAAATTTTTCATTCTTGATTTTCGATTTGTTTTTGTCCCCTTAATCAAAACCCAGAAGGACGGGCGTCACTTTTGGGACACCCTGTATATTTCAACACTGAATATGAATGTATTTAGTTATAATTATTACAATAATAATTATTTAAATAATTTTTGTTTAAACAAATTAAAAATATATATTTGGAAATTAATTTTTTTGTTAAATACAGATAAAATTAAGAAAAAATAGTACTTTAAAACTATAATCTTTGGAAAAAAGTAAATTGCAAATTGATAAATGTAATCTAATTGTTTAAAAATAAAAAGAGTGTTAACTTTAACAATTTACTGTAGCCGTCCTAATCAACCGATTTCAATTTTTCAAAAAACATTTGAAAGGTTGAGCAGTCTTTTCTATGTGAATTTTCAAGTATCTAGATGCTTTATTCGAAGCTGTGCAACATTTTGATAATTCGAAAATTTTTTTCAAAAATTTTTTCAAAAAATTATTTTATGAAAACTATCTAACCCATTTTAATGAAATTTGGTGTGTTGTTTTATTATACTCTAAAGTTTTTTTTAACAAAATTAGAATGCCCTTGGAACAATTAAAATATTTTTAAAAAATGATCCAAAAAACTTGATTATTTTGCCTTTTTTTCATCAATTATTGCTATTTTGCAACATCGGTAATAAATTTAAACATTTTTAACTTACGATGTATTGTTCAAAATTCAATTCTAAAACTATTTTTCCTTTTCAATATCCTTCCAAAATGCACAGGTTCCAAGATATTAGTAAAAAACTCGGATAAAATAGATATTTTTTTAAATTTTTTAAACATTTTTGCAATTTTGAAAATGTTCCAGATCTTGCCCAGATCTAGGGATCCACACTTTTATTATTTAAGTTGTACTGAAGGTAATCCAGAAAAAAATTGCTTGCCCCTTCTCACATTCACCTCAAAACAGATCCTCCCTGGTCTATATCGACACTTTCAATTTACATGTAGTGCAAAGTTAATTGTAATCGTCCTGTTTATAATAGTTACTGTTTTGTATTGAAATGTTATATTACTTAAAATGTATGTTTAATTAATAAAATTATAAATAAATTTCGTACAAATAACAAATTATTTTGACATTTGTTTTATGTTCTAGAACGAAAAAGACTTTGGCGTTCTAGAACATAAAAGTATTTATGATATACGTGTTAAAAGTAAGATTTTATTTTGTGAGTGAAGATGATTAAAAAACTCGCTACGCTCGTTTTTTAATCATCTTCGCGAACAAAATAAAATCACTTTTAACACGTATATCATACACTATTTTTTCTACAAAACTGTTAAAAGTGGGCTTTTTAATTTTCATTTTTGATGTTAAAAATGTCATTTTTTGACACGCGTGTTAAAAGTAAGTTACTTTTAACACTAGTGTTAAAAGTTAAGTTAACACGCGTGTCAAAAAATGACATTTTTAACATCAAAAATGACAATTAAAAAGCCCACTTTTAACAGTTTTGTAGAAAAAATAGCTATTGCAGCTAGGTGAAAAAAAAAGACTCGCTTTGTCAACTGAAAATTTAACGAAAATGTCGAGTTTTAATGACAGTTTTCGAAAAATAATTATTCCGACTCAATACAACTATGTTTTTAACCTTAATATATAAGTTTATTGGTGGATCTTTATTAACACACGGTTTGGTTTTAGGCGCAAATCTTTTAAAACGTAAAACAACCTTGTTTAATCCTCAAAACGAATAAAAATCACCCTTAGTTACCCATCCCCGCTTACCGTATGGGGTATTAGATCGTCGTTCTTAGAGTAAATAAAATGCTGAGGCCACGTGTTCTTTTCGTTTTTCAAATTCTCTAGAGGGTTCGACTGGAACGTGGACTTTGGACAGATGGCGTTGCTGATTACCTGAAACGCACCATAAAATAAAGGCGAAAGATTCATTTCGTAAGGTGTTACCTCATAGAGCCAGATCATGGAAAGGAACATCGTCATCAGGAGCGACATTGAGAAGTTATAGAACACGTTGCCTCCTAGGATGGCAGATATGGCCCGGAATAGGCTCAATATCCTTCGCTTTCCTGGGGCCGAGTCAAAGATTACTCCTTTTATCTAAAAAAAAATAAATAAAATAAAAATAGTAATAATAATAATCATTTTTACGCGATCTAAAACAACTTTGATGTATTTTACTGTATCATAAATCTGTTTTGATATATTTTACTGTTTTTTTGCGCTATTTCTATGTACTCTGACTTATTTTACAGTTGTCCTGTTACATTTGAAGGACTCTAAAGTCGATTTGATGTATTTTGAACGTGAAAAAATTGTTACTAAACATTTTATTGCACTTTATGACGGGGAATAAGGGTATGTAGAATGATAATATCAAAAAAGCAACTCGAAAAAAGTTACTGTCCACGAAAATCTAGATGACCTATCGGAATATTAGTCATTTTATGTTGTAGGCAATTAAATTACCTACAATTTAAAGTATCTAAAGTCATATTTCACTAATTTGTTAACCGTAAAATAACGATCGAACGCGGAAAAATGAGTTTTCGAAAATTGCGCATTATTATTGCAAAAAGCGATGCATGTTGATGAAATTTATGGAAAAGACGGTCAATCCAATGACCAACATGTGTGCCAAATGCCGATTCGATTGACCGTGAAATTTTTGCTCCACGTTAATTAATTTCGTTCTTTTTTTGCAACTAATTCTTTAATACCTAAACTTTAATTATAGAAGTAATATCGTTAGGCCGATCGAAATAACTCATTTAGAGGGAAAAAAAGAAAATTGTTACCTACCTACCTAAGTGGAAATGGTAAAGGGGATTATAATAAACGAAAAAAAAATAAATAAAAAATAAATGCGTGAGCAGGGGTGGCGGAGGTTTGATTTGGGGGTTGAAAAGTTGTGGAAAATTGTATCATTGGGATTTCTGGCGAAAGTTGACGTCAAACAAAAAAGTATCCAATACAAAAGTTATAGATCATGCAAAAATCTACAACTTTTGTAGGGGTCACATTTTAAGATAACCTCAAAATTTCCGAGCAAAATACGAGAAACCGATTTTTTTCTGATTTTTCGTTTTTTATTTCTCATTTCCGCTAAAATAAATTAACGTGTCTTAAATAACCACAATTTTCACACAAAAACACAAAATCAAGAAGTTTCGGAGATACTCATTTTTTCCAGTCTGAAACACTTTTTTTAAAGAAAAATTCTACTTAAAAAAATCATCATATAGAGTTCTGCCGGTAATCATTTTTTTCATTTTAACATATACTTTTTGGTGAAATAAAAAAAATCTGTAATCACAGTTCAAAAACATGCTCAAAAATGCAAAAAAAATAAAAAATGACGCAACAATTAATTTTTCAGTAATTGTTAATAATTTGTTTAAAAAATATCAAAAACTGATTACATCTTTCAATTGTACGAAAAAAATACAAAAAAAACTCACATTGTTTGACCCAAAACTTTTGTGTAGTATTGCTACAAACAAGAATAGTGAATAAATAAAATAAATAATATTTTTTTCCGTAGGATCGATTAGTGTACTTATTTTTTTAAATATTGATGAGTTCATAGATATACAGTGTGTCCAAGATAAGGATGGGATAGCATTAGGATCTAGGAAACGGTACGAGATACTACGGGGTGGCTCAGATTAGAAAAATTTGTGTTTTTTTATACCTAACAATATGCCGTTTAGAAAGTTTTAAAATTCCGGGTAGTTCCGGAGATATCCGAAAAAACCTGAAATTTTGCAAAATTGTTTAATTTTTTTTCTGGCTTTATTTGAAAACGAATTTTAAAATAAATTGCATATTTACAATGCCACTTTTTTCGCTCTATTCAAAGGGGCCAACATTTTTACAATCCGACGTTTCGTCTTCGAGGAGCCATCATCAAGTTAATTTTTTTAAATACGTCGCTTCTATTTTAATGGAAAAATCTAAAGTCATTTTTAATTCTGATTTAGATGATATTATTAATTTTTCGCATTTTTTCGGAAATTTTGAGGTTATCTTAATAAGTGACGTCTACAAAAAGTTGTAGATTTTTGCATGATCTACAACATTTGTATTGGATACTTCTTTGTTTGACGTCAATTTCGCCAGAAATCCCAATGATACAATTTTCAACCCCCCCAAATCAACCTTCCGCCACCCCTGCTCAGGCATTTATTTTTTTTTTAGGTTTAGCCCTTTTACGATTTGTACTTATAAAAGTCCAGGTAAATTTTTTTTTCTTCAAGTGTAATTTGGTTGGACCACGTAGTTTCTGATTGGTCCAAAGAAACGTATCGAAAAAAAAATTCAAAAAGTTAAAATTAAATAGCCCTTTATAACTAACAAAGTATGACGTGCAAAACAGAGTTATAAACAAATCTTCCCAGGGTCAGGCAAAAACGGCTCGGGAATTCGCTCTTTTTGCATTCCATACATTTTTACGGAAACTTAAAAAAGAGTGAAATCACCTATACCTCTTTGTTCTGAAGATAGCTTTTTTTATAACGTTAATTGTTAATAAACTATTGGACATATCGGACCGCGATTTTAGAGACAATTAAATTCTTGAAAATTATTTAATTTCTGGGAAACTGGTCAAAATAAACTCTTAGTTTATAAAACTATTTTTCATTTATACATTGTTTACTATGATCGTTTCGGGTTTTATCCCATCTTCAGATGACAGTATCACAAACATGGATCATACAAATTTTCGCATGTTGTTAAATTGACATCACTGGTTTTCGCATTCTGACTTTGTTAATTTCTATAGATTGTTGGACAATATGTTAGAAAACTAGAAATTGTTAATAGTATTATATTCTGCATATGTTTAAAGATTTTAAACAATATTGTTGACCAATGTTTCAACAATTGTATAGTTCATGTAATAAACACGCTAGCAGCAGTAAAAGTTAACGTTAATGAACGGTCTGTAGGCCGGAGAAAGAGCGCTAGGCCCGTACATGCGCATGAACGTCGTCATCGTCGCGCGCGAGATTTTTTACTTGAACGTTTCAAATTCGGTTCGAGTTTTCAGGTTTTATGATCTAATTCAACTGAAGTATAATAACATTTTCTACGCAGTTTAAAATCACGTGCTTTTTCAGCTGTCTAATAAAAACTAATATGTTGGTATAGCTCTTTGTGGAAGACAGTTGAGCATTAGGCAGGTGTGGTAAGTAACTACGATCACCTATTTACAATTTACAGTGAAACGGATGGATATAAATTGAGGAAACGACTTTTTTCTGACACCTTTGACGTAAACAACGTATTTTCTAGAAACAAGCAGACATTAACGAAATCATTTTTGCGACAACATGTTTAATTAGTATCTACTGGAAAACGGGAAACGTATTGACAGTCTTCTCTGGAAAATGCGGCGACGAAGTCGTTAAAAAATAATTAAAATCTGTAAGACCGATTAATTAGATTTATTTATGTTTGAGATTACGTGACAGGTAATTAAGACTTCGCGCACGATTGACTGTTTAGAATTAGAATCTTATAATATCAAAATGAAATCATTTGGAAATTACTTATGCGACTTAAAAAGTAATTATGCTGAAAACTACAGCGCAACAGACCTTTTTAGTAGTGACGTTACATACGCCAAATAATAAGCAACCATAGTCATGAAGAATTTCTCAATATTTTTACTAAATCGATTTTCGACCTTATGCACTTTGGACATAAGTGTCAAAAAAATGGCTTCTTTGACATGACCGTAAGTATGGCGATATTCTGGCAATATTAGAAATCTTTAAGAAGTTTCAAACCCCAAGCTACAAATTTATGGAATTGTAGAATTTACATATTTAAATTTATAGAACAATATTAATTTTTATAGTAATTAATAAATTAAAATTATATCAATGTTACTGAGCATCAGCGTTGCCAGATTTTTTTTCGGGCAAAGTCGGGACGTACTACGGGTTTGTATAATTGATGTCTAAATAGTACATTGTGTAACGAGTGGGGAAAAGTTGCCAATAGCGCCACGAGGACGCAGTTGACGCACGAGCGAAGCGAGTGCGGAAAGCGCCCAAGTGGCGCTATTTAAAAAAAATCATAACAAACAGAAAAATGATTGAATTTTGTAATTTTTTTTTTTCAATCTGCTCTAAAATATATAACTTTTCTTTTCAGAGAAATAGATATATTTTTTAATTTTTAATAAGAAAGTTATAACAAAAAATCAAATTTTTAATCGTTAATTTTAATGATTTAACAAAATTAAATTTCTGAAATCTTCCCTTAACTTCTAGCCTCCCTAACTCTGTTAATTTTAATAGTACAAGAAAAAGCTAAGAGACCATTTTTATGTAGAATTGTCTGCTTTACAACTTTCATGCAAACCTTTTTTTTTCTAGCTCTTACCCTTTTTGAGTTATCTTGAAAAAGCCCTTTGTTTTATCTTTTTCCACCCTTGGCCGGGGGTTGAACAAAAAATTACTCTCACTTATTGTTATAATATACCTTAAACTAACTCATATCAAAAATTCAGCCAAGTTGACAAAATTTCGATTTAAAGGCTTAGTTAATTGGACTAAACACACTGACACAGAACAACACCAAAGAAAAGCAATAGCAATACTTAGTAGAAGTGGAAAATGCCAAGATTAAACAAAACAAGATATAATTTACTGCATAATTACTGTATAATTTTCCCAAACAGCACCGATTTGCACAAAAATTTGGATTTACCCTCTACTTCAAAGTTGACCCAGTGCCGGGGGTTGCTTTTTATTTTTTAGGGGTGAAAACTACCTCTATTGGATAATAATTATAGAATTGTAGAATCGAGCGTGTAATAGGTTGAAATCATCGTTAAATAAGTAATTATGATGAATTGCAAATTGTCAAGCCCTAAAAACCACCCCGTATGACAGTAATCATTAAAAAATAATGTAGAAAAATATTATTCAGCTACTTGGAACAATTTAATCATATGGTGATATTAAATTAAGATTTCTGTACTGTTTTAATTTTTTGTTATTTATTTATAAGTTTCAACCCTTGCAAAAAAATCGAACAATTACAGTTAATTTTTTTTAGTTCAAAATATATTATTTAAAATGTAATGTATTTATTTTATCAAACCCTAAAAAATAATGTGTTTTCATCAGTGCTTGAATATACGTATTCTGATATTTGCAAAAATATGTGATTGATTTTTTACCCATAACTCGCTTAGTTTTTATGTTGTCAAGCACTAAAAAAAACAATTTGTAGGTTATTTCAAGGTCTAATAGATCAAATAAGTAAAATTTTCTTTCTGCCCTTATTTTTGTAAGGGTTTGAGCGGAAAAGGCTTGAACAAGTTGCTATTTACGAACATATGCAAACTTTAAACAGCCACATCTTAGTTAATTTTTATCCTACAGAAAAAGAAACCAAAATTTTCAAAAAGCAAAACCTATAATTTTGTACTCTACAAAATGTTGGGTATCATTAATAGTTTTTGAATTATTTTGAAGAAAATACATTTTTTTTCAAAAATACAAAAATTCTCTTTTCACTGCCAGCTCAACTTTTTTCAAACTAAGCACTTTAAACCGGTCAAACTTCTAGAGCATATGCAGGTACATAAATAAAGTAAATTGTAAAGTGGTGACGATTATTTTCAATTGGGGTGGTAGTTAGGGGGTGATTTTCACGTTTTTTTCGCCGAAAAAATGCGGACCAAATTTATTTTCGTCATAACTCGCTTAGGTTTGATGTAAGGGACTTTTATAAAAAATAAAAATAAAAGTTTTTTTTCAAGCACTTTAAAAAAGATTCTATGAGTATTCCCTGAAAATGCATTGGTTTTTGATTATTTCACTGTCAAATTTTCAATTTTGGCGATTGACGAATAAGAACCAACATTCAACAAGCTTGTATTGGATCTACAGGTACCATAAACACACCATTCTTTTTGTTTTTATAAGAATAATTTTTTTGATAAAATACTTACTTTTTGAGTTATTCGCGAAAAACCGTCTGAAAAAGTGGTTTTTTGGTTAAAAAATTTACACTTTCACTCGCGAATAAGTCGAAAAATATTGACTCTCAGAAAAAACTTGATAGTACAAAAGTTGCTTAGAATTAGTCAGTATATACATTCCCATAGTTGTTTTCAACGAAACAAGGTCAACTTTGAAGTAGAGAAGTAAGTCCAAATTTTTATGAAAATCGGTGCTGTTTGGCAAAATTTTACGGGAAAATGATCACTCACTGGACTATATTTTACGAAACGCGTGTTGATTGTTCTTAAATACTTCCAAATCCATGTAGAAATAACTACACAAGGGTCAGATTCGGTCTGTACAATTTCAACTACGACAATTTGTTGCGAGTTGCTTAAAATGTGATGTCACACTAAAAGAGTTGAACCGAAAATTGTTTTCACTGAACTGGATACTTACGGGTATTGGTTTGGGGCATTTTTCTAAGGCCAACGAGAAATTCTGGTAGAGAAAAGCTCCACCATTGGAAAAACAGTGGATTATGATAGGATGACTGTCAAAGTTCAAGTCAATCAGCAGTTTTACCAACTTCTCCCCGATGGTTATCATCTGGTACCTCTTGAGGAAAAGGCATTTCACTGGAGCGGTGTACCTGAGAGTGATCAACCTAAAAAAAAGTGAAAATAACTAGTAAAAGCGATATTTGCAATAAGCACTACGGATATTGGGAGACAATTTATTTTTATATTAGTTGATACATTGTACCTACTCCATTTTAAAGGTTTTAAAGTAATTAAAAGTGTTACTTTTGGGTCGCTGAATCCAAATCCAGGGTCCATTTAACCCCATCACCTCAGGATTTTTCATAACCTCAAAAAAAAAACGATATTCTGAACAATTAAACCATATAACCATAAGACTCAAGCTTCCGACGCTAAATCCGATTAACCAAATCCCATAAACATTTGACCCAATAATATCCCAACCTAATAAGCGCATGAACCCTAATGATCCTTTAAACACATAACCAAGGGAATAAACCATAGGCAATCTGTATTATTGCAAAACACCACATAGCTGAGAACTCCTTGAAAATCCAAGTACTCAAACCCAAAAAATTCCCATAACCCTATAAGTCCATAACCCCGTAGTGGGGCTATGGATTGTAGGGCATAGGTTTTTAAGAAATTCTCCACCATATTCACGTTTAGCCATAATACAGATTGCCTATGATTTATTAGTTATGGGGTTACGAGGTTATGAAATTACGGGGTTATTGGGTTATAGGGTTATGGGAATTTTTTGAGTCTGAGTACTTGAGTTTTCAAGGAGTCCTGGGCTATGTGATGTTTTGTAATAATACTTTAATTTATTCCCTTGGTTATGGAGTTATGGGGTTATGAGCTTATAGGGTTATTGGGGTTTGGGTTCATGGGCTTATTAGGTTGGGATATCATTGGGTTAAATGTTTATGGGATTTAGCGCTGGAAGCTCGAGTCTTAAGGTTATATGGTTTAATTGTCCAGAATATCGTTTTTTTGAGGTTATGAAAAATCCTGAGGTGATGGGGTTAAATGGATTGGGATTCAGCGACCCTAAAAATGTATCATAAACATGATCTGACCTGTGGGCCTGAGTCTATTTTTTGTGTGGCTGTGTTATCTCCTAAAATAAGATAGCTATCGAAAAATCACAAGACAAAAACATTTCAAGGTATTATCAGTTAAAAACTCATAACGAAATAAAGTTGTTGTTTCTTTAATGGAATACCCTGTATATTATTTCATATTTCAATTCTTCTCGAAATTCTAAACAAAATTCATATAGCACATCATGTACCTAAACTTAATCGTTTTCAAGATAGCGCTGTCTTTTATTTTTGTTGGCAACACTTTACCGCAAAAATGGCGCAAAATTCTAATCTTGCGTGAATTTTGGAACACCCAATACATATATTATCATCTCTAGTATTTTAAAATATATTTTAAAGGTAGATAATTAAAACAAATTAAAAAATCTTAAAATACTTTTTTATTTCTTTTTTTAAGAAATTTTTTTATAAACTATTTCTAAAAAACTTATCGAATTAAGTTTTTCAAGATAACATTAAAAAATTCTGATCCAGCAATTCAATGACTTGACCATTGTGTTCAAAGTGATTGTCAAAAGGTTCGTAGTAATTAATAAGCGAAAAAATTTAAATAATATTTAGTATATAGTTCCACATAGTCCCTATATTTTTATTAGCATTTCCATAGCACATTTACAAGTAGCATCTTAAAATTTTGAAGTAGGTTAAGCAATGTTGTACATACAAGGAAGTAAACAATAGATTTTACGAGAAAAATGCATTTTATTAGTTTGCTAGGAAAATATTATTAAACGCCCGCACGTATTACTTTTATACAGGGTGTATTAAAATCCTCGTCCCAACTTTAGCGACATATTCTACGTAAGAAATTAACAAACAAAACAGATTCTCCGGTTTCGAGACACAGGATGTTAAAGTTTAAAAAGAAATCGTATTTTTTTTTAAATTATAAGAAAAATAAAAACCAAAAATGATATATTTAAATGTAATTAAAAAAACATACCTGATATATTGGAATTTTTAAATATATCAAGGACATATGCTCTATTCTTATTGTTCTATTATCACCCTTGTCAAAGTTTGATCACGTAAGAAAACGGCTACTACAAAGAGATTTGTTTATTTCCACATTTACTTACAATTGTTTCAACAATCAATAAATATGAACAGGAGAAAATTAATGTCTTTATAATAGAATAAAAAATACAACAGCTGATAATAATCTTTTTTAAATTTTTTAGATATCCGTTTGTGTTTTGCTATAAATACTTGTTCCAAAAGAATTTTGATTTTCGTTATTTAAAACGTCTAGAAGGGGCAGTATATTATTTCTATTTCTTAATTCAATTTAATGGTTATTGTTAAATTTGTAACAATGAATTGAAGTTTATAAAAATGTACTGATACAAAGTCAACACCAGGGCAACTTATTGAGAGTTTTTGAAAATATAGACAGTAAAATCAATTCAACTCGATATTCTATAAAAATGTCCCCTTGCTGCACGCAGGACAGGATATTTTTTGTATAAATAACAGAATTTCGCACCACGAATAAGTGATTAGTGTTATCAAATTATTTATTTCAATTACTTCGAAAATAACAACTCAGGCAATGAAGTAATCGTCACGTTATGCATGATTGAAGCAAAATATAATTTACATAGTTCTCCTAAACTTTTTGAACACCCTGTATCTCAACATCAAAGCGTTTCCGGTCACATGTATTCCTAGGGACATTTTTTAATTTGTGACCAAGGCAAAGTATTTTATACATAAAACATAAAACACACCACAGAAATGAGACAACCCCCAAATCCAAAAGCCAAAGGCTGTGCGGAAGGGGGCTACACTTGAAAAACGCGGACAAACACCCATTATCCATCGACATTGCCAGTGCCGACACCAGGGATCGAACCCGGACCAGAATAGGAAGCCTGGCCGAGAAATGCTTGCCACCGCACTCTCGACCGACTGCGCTACCGTGGCGTATACACCCTGTATACTTCTATTGAATATTATTCTCTTTAAAATATATCAAAAATAAATTGTATAAAAACTAACAATAATTAAAACATTATAAGATAACAAACATAGACGATTAAAAAGTTTTCATTAAATAAAAAATTTGTAACTTAAATTACTTAGGCATTTCTTTAATTCATAGACAGCTCGTTAACCTAATTTGAATGGATACAAGATATCGGACAAAAATGAGAGAAAGTTGTTGCTGTTGGTGAATTAAAAATATAGCGCTTTGTCACTTATTTCCCGAACACCCTACATAAAGAAACTACCATTTAAAACTAAACATTTGATATCGTTTTTTAAAGCAGTTTCAACGTGATTTTGATGCTGTTCCAAGCAATAAATCTTCACTATTGGGATAAAAGTTTACCATTCCTAGAAATACATGCTTTTACCGGAAAATATCAAACCGTGAATAATACAACAAACACCCCTATGACGCAACCAATCTAAAAATGATCATTAACAGCTATACACCACGGGCTAGGGTTAGGAACTCAAATCGCCGCTATAAAAAATCAATAACCCACCAAAATAACCCCGTAAAGTAAACATTACACCTCCAAATGATGTTATATACATTTTCTGTGTTGGAAATACGAAACAGTCGCATTTTTTTCGAAATAAAACGCGTTTTGAACCATACCGGCAAGTACTTACCCCTTTTCCTCGTAGATTTGGGAATATTTGGCCAGGTACTTATCCTGGCACCCGGCCCATCCAAATAACAGGATAACTGGGATTTTTTCTTCGTTCACCACAAACACGAAATCGTGCTCTCCGTTGTGCTGGCTGTAGTTGAAATTCGGATTGGGAAACTTGATGTAATACTCCAGGTTGTCCAGGTCCGCCATTTCTACACCGTGTGCGCGACAGAAACAACTGACTATCGATTGCGCGGCTCGAGGGTAACTCCACGAAATCAGCGCTGGCTTGGGATCGACCGTTAAATCGCTTGTGCGATTTTTTTATGCATATGTACGTCTTGTGCGTGTAATATTTTTAAAAACAGGAACAGACATGACATGACTGAAAATTACGGAGCGTTTGCTATTTTCTGTAGTTTTTCTAATCTGTTTGATTTTTTTCACGGGTGCACACAAAATAAAAGAAAGTGGTATGCTCTAAACAAAACAGCACAAAATTGAACTGTGAACAGTTTAAATTTAAGCAGAATCCGATCCTGTTCCGAACGCTTACGAAGAGCAACGTTTAGTGACGGAACAGTGTATTTTGTGTATGATATGAAAAAGCAAGTATACGCTTCAAGAAATAGTTGGCTATTAGAGCCTACTTTTTGTCAGGAAAAAACGATGTTGTTGCAAGACGTTATGGAATGGATTATTACATAACCGGCATGTACCGAATAAGAAAGTGCTTCTAAAATTGGTTCATCCTCACAGAAATGTATAAAACCGTGTAGAAGGATCGTGGTACCTCTGCTAGAAGATTAGCTAGCAGTTTTCAAGTATGTCATATGCTGAAAAATCAGGCGAGGAAACAAATTACTTACTTATTTCTGTGTGTCTCTTGTATTGATGTATTTCATGTGTCATGTGCATTTGTGTATGTTCTCGAACGTATGTATTTCTTTTAACACAAAAATCTAATTGACGTGGAGTTATACTTGATGGTAAAGCCATTGTATCCAATCTACTGCGTATTATAGTCTTTCTGAAGTCAGTTGAACATGTAAAAAAAACGCCTGGCAATACAATTTAATGAGTTTCATAGGCGTCACTAAAGAAGTTTTCTGCTAAAGGTAAAAAATGATAATAATTTGTATATAATGTGTAGAAAATTTCTATTATATATGTTCATTTGGCCAACAACATATTTTAATTATTTATGTCATCAACCAATTTTATTATATTGATGGTAAATTTCGTTTTGTTCCGTTTCAAAAGGTCTACAAAATGCCATGTTGCAATAATATTATTTCTCGCTTTCGCAATTGTAATGTGAATGACTAATAGAAGGTGCCTGTAGTAAATTAAAATTACCTGAATCACACCAAATCGGGCATTGCTGCACTGCACTGCTAGGCAATTTCTCAACCACTTGTCAACAATTGAGATTTATTGCCCAGTCGCCCAGTGAGGCTGTGTTTGTGCGCCGTTTGCCCGCATTCTTCAGCTGGGCGTATACATTTCTACCACCTCCATGTTTAGCTCGACCAGACCTGTATGGCTAAATAAATATGGGAACAAGTTTTTCAAATATCGCAATGCCGAGTTGCTGCGTCAGCAACCGAAACTGGTACATACTGCCAACCTCTTGGTTCTTCAATTGTGATCGGAAAGACTATACCTAATTTACATCTGAAGCTTTGGATTAAAGAGGTCAGGTCGATTAAATCACGGTACTACTACGGTACACTGTACTATGTATACTTGATTATTTTGACATCAATCTCTAACCCTTGTTGGAAGAATCATATCTTCCCTATCGCATTTAATTTGTCCATTGCCGTGATAATCAAACATCAGATATGCCTCAGGGTTCGATTCTTAGCCCAGTGTTTTTTATCTTTTTCAACAATGATATAACGAATAATTTTACGTCTACTTTTTACTCTGCGGTGATGAACATCTAGCCAACTCTGTATCTGCCAAAAAAACTTCATCAAAGTTTGGTTTTCTCAAAGATCTAGGTGTTTTGAAGGCAGATTTATCTGTACTATTCCTGAATTCTTCGCACGAGTATTATAAAAATTTGGGCTTTATTTTGAGTAATAGAAAATATTTCAAGAATATTTCATAAAAATATTGCAAAAATAGCTCTGCAAACAATTTTCTAAGGTAAATTGGACAATAAAGTATAAGTCTCGAGGATCATTTTGCGCTTTTGAACGTTCCGAAAGCTTTGGCAGGGGCTGAGATATAAATTTTTAAAGTTGGCAACTTTTAGCCATTTTTCGACATTAAATCGCTCCTAGCTCGAAAAGGAAGCGTTTTACGAAAAAATGTCAAGAGACAAAAAGTGTTTATTTTAGTCCAATTTATGGAAAATTTGCAGGGCGTTTTTGTGCAATATTTTTATTTTGCAACTTTTTTGTTAATAACAAATTACCTGCCACTCGGACACGAAAATGTTACTTAGGTTTTTTGTTCTAGGTTTTTTAAATCGACAAGTATTATTTTGGATCAGACTTATCCATCTGAAGGTTATTTTTTAAATTATTAACCACAGTATTGATTTTCCTTTTTATTTTTGTTTTATTATTTATGTTTACACATAATGTCAATTTGGGCTGTTTATTTATTGACAACTGTAGTTATTAACATAACTGATGGTTTTGTTTGTTATTTTTGTTCTTGTTTTATTGTTATTTCGTTGTTTTAACCTTAAAAAATTATTGTAGCAAGCCTTTTGTCTTGTTTTCTACATTTCGATATCAAAAACTTTAGTAACAAATTTACAATAAATTTATTTAAAAAAACATATCTGTTTCAGTATTATAAACATATTTATTGCGAGACATGTAAATCTTTTACATAAGTATAATTTAGATAAGGTAAATATTTTTTCTAGTAAAGACCCCTTCAGTACTCCAAAACTTCCAATGGTGGGCAGTTGTAGTGCCTGATATTCCTTGGCATAATCATCCCATGCTGCAGGGAAGCAACCCTTTTCATGTACTTACAAACAGCATTGACCAACTCTTCGGGTACTACGGGTCCTATACCGACCACGGCGTTTACAGTGACTTCTTCCGACTGAAACAATAGAAAAAGTTACGTTTTTTGAACAAAACACCACACTGAAACGAGCAGACGTTGAAAGGAAAAGTAGTAAGTCGTGATAATTAGTTGTGGACAATCAGTTGTGGTTAAAAAATGGTTGTTGAACTGGATTAAACTGGAAAAACGTATTTGAAGTCAAATGCACACAATAAATCGAATGTTACAGCTGCCATACTGGGTACTTTTACTCCATGAGCCTCCCGTTTGGCTTAAAAGACGCCCCTACCTTATCCTCCTCTTCCTCCTCCACGACTTCGCTCTTCAAATCGACGCTCTCCGACAGGCTCTTGGTCTGATCGTCCTTGAAATGCAGCACAGCCTCCTCCTGGGACTTGGTCAGCGGCATCTCGTCGATCAACCTGCACTTAAACTCCTCGATTTCGGTGTCGCTCTCGCCCGCCATCTCCGTCTGCAAGATCTGGAGTCTGGCAAGGTCCTCCTTTAAGGTCCTGTCGTCCTCGACGACGTCTTGTGGCATGACCTTGGGCTGCTCTTGCACGGTGTTCACAGAACCGGCTGCTTTCTCTCCAGCTGGCAACGCCTCGACTTTCGTCTTTTCGAATTCCTCTTCAACCGCATCGGGCTTGCCTTCTTCTTCGTCTGGATGAGCTGCTTCCTTTTCCTCTTCCTCTTCGCCTTCTGAAAGGTGGAAATAGCGTACGCGTGACTACGGTAAATAAAAGAAAGTGTCATCTGAATACCTTGTTCTTCCTTTATTTCCTCTTCTTCTTCTCCAGGCGCTTCTTCCTCGGCGTTGGCTTTTGTCTCCTCAGGGGCCTCTCCTAGGTCGGTCATCCCTTCTTGTTCTCTAAAAATAATTAATTCAATTTTAAGACACACTTCAGAGTCAACTGGGTACAAATTTTGGATTCATGACTTTTTTTGGTCGTCTAAAATTAGTTTACCCCTCTTCCGAAGCTTCTTTTGAACCCACATCCACGTGATAGTTCATGGAGAAATCGTCGTCTCCAGCTATACTGGGACAGGAAATTACTTCCTTGCTATCTGTTTTCTGTAAAACCTCCTCTTCAGTTTCCTCACATATCTCCGTTTTAACACTAAAAACAACGCCTAGGGTCAAGTTAGATTGTACTAAAGATCAGTTTGTCCCTTTTGGAATCCTTATCAAAAAAATAATAAAGTACTACACCCTATAAAGTTTACAAAATGTATACAGGGTGATTCAAAAAACCGCTGACAGACTTCTAGGGTAGATAATACATAAAAAATTAAGACGAAAAGTTTTAATAAACATAGGGTCGCAAATTCCTCCTTAACGAGATACAGGGCGTTAAAGTTTCTGTAAAATTAAACATTGTCTGCAATAATTCCAAAATGCCTGAACATATCTATTTCAAATTTGCTATGCGTAGTTAGCACCTTAAGACCAATGTTTGATGTACTGCTCAAAATTTTATGATCAGCAGTGGCGTAGAGACGGGGTCAACGTGACCCTTTTTTAAAAATATTTTCTACGCCACTGCTAATTTTGTCAAACGGGCACTATTTTCGTGTAAAGTGTTCAATTGTCTATCGAATTGGTCTCTTGCAAAATTTGGATTAAAGCAACCATTTTTAAGAGAAACACCTTTGTAGAAAATTTGTAAATCCAATTTTATTTTCATTCATTTTAGTTTCGCATAGTAGGCTTGTGCTATTCAAAATAAAATTAAACATCGCCTGTCACTAATGTCAATGTGTACAAGTGAGTTAAGTAAACTAGATTATAAGCTTCTTTTTGTCATTTTTACGCTTTAATTTTACAGAAACTTT